TCAGTAAAAAAAAAAAAAAAAAAAATAAAAAACAGAAGGTTAATGTGAGCTTTGTGTTTGAACTTTGGCGCAAGATTGTTGAAATCTAGATTTTTATCACTGACATAAAGTAGTTCAACGTATTTTCCAGAATGTCGTCTGCTAGCCTCGCATGTATTTTAGCTTTACTCATTTTCATGAGAGTGCAGAGGCGTGGCGGAGTACAAACCCCCGTTCGTCTAGTTAGGCATCACATTCTGATTCCCTCCGCCGGCCGGATTAAAATCGGATGCAGGTCGCCAGTTACCCAGATGTGATCTACAGCAAGTTCGAGCGGTACAACCACGCTGTATGTAGCTGAACAATTTAAAGTCTAAAACACTTTTCACAAAAAAAAATTACAAGCCAACAGGGCGGCGACAAGACTTTCATTAAAAGCAACGAAAGAAACTGACTGAAGGCACCTTGCGAATCAGCTGTGCCCAACTTTGAGCATGTTCACAATTTCTTTCTGCCTATGTTCGGGCACTTCCTGATAACCGCCCACCTCCATATGGATGCTGGCGTGACCAGATGTCAGAATTCGGACATTTTTCGGAAATCCCTGTAATTCAGCCAGTGGCACGTTGCATCGCACCAAACACTCTCCTCCGAGGGAGTCTGCTCCATCTGCTATTACGGTACCTCGTCGTTTATAAATTTCTTGTAGCACCAGATCCGCATGCGTTTTGGTTGTTGTAACTATCTAAATTAATCCGTGATTCGAACGATTAAAAAAAAAAAATAATTCTGTCAATGGAGCATCGAAGCGAATCCATGCTTTTCAGAGACCACCAGGGTTAGTCCAAAACCTCCCCATTTAGTTTTTACGGATGACAGACTCAATCGAAACTCATCGGACTGGGAAATGCAAAAAAACTGGTTATCTACGAGGAACATTCAGTTTTTATTTTAAACTTGGATATTTTTTGGTTATGAAAAAGGTTGTAACAGAGTGAAAAGTAAAAGTAAAAAATAAGAAATAAGAACTGAATTGGAATGTTTTGATCCATTAAATTGAATGGAAAAGCAAACGAACAAAAAGAACCCATAACGAACCTCAACATTCATCATCGGCTCAACAAGGTAGATACCGGCTTTTGTCAGTGCTTCTGTGACACATCTGCTAGCTGCAGCGGATATAACCGATGGATTCAGGCGTCCCCCACTGGCCACAAAATCAGTTAATACCACAGTAACACCGTGCACTGTAAAGCCTGCCACGGGTCCCGTATACAGTGCATTTGCGCAACCTTCATTGATTGCATTCAACCAGCTTTCGCGCAAACCAACACCGGCATATTCATTGTCTTCATCCAGAAGCACAACCACCTACAGACCAGAACGAACAATGACAATTAAAACTCATTTTTTATTTCACTCTTAATTAGAAAATTAAATAACAGAAAGTGGCCCGGTACCTACAAATAGCATCAGCTTTATTAGATGGAGATGTCCACTACTGATGACACGTTTTTCGCTTGCGTTTCTTGCTTTTACTTTCTTTCTTGCTTTTACTTTTTCCTTGCTTTCTTCCTTCCCAGCCATCAACTCCTCCCTCTCCTTTATGTGGCCTAGGCAACTGCCAAAGGATCCACCCGATCGTAGAGCTGCCGATGAAACACTTCTTTTGAGGGTCGCTTTAAAATCAAACAATAGGTAATTTTTTCGTATGCTGTCACACCAGTATCAATTTATCATCGGAATAAAAACACAAGTTTTCCCTTCTAGTGGATTCGAACCGTTTAAACTTTTAAAACTTGAGAATGAGTTGATTAATCGTACATAACTAATCTTCCTAGCTTCAAGATAACTTCAAGTTAATTGGAGAAATAACACAGCAAAAAGATGAATTGACCTGCTTAAATTTGCCTGCACTTCGGCTTGGTGCAACGGTGAACGTGATGCGGCATTCATGCCTCATTTCGTTCTCACCGAATGTATCACTCACCGTTGTTGCATTTGTTACCTCATTTGCAATCATTTCTCTGTATGCAACCTGAATTAAGCAAAATCACTGTTACCTTCTTTTCACTTTTTCTCTTACACTTTTTCACTTTTCATCCACATTGTTTTTTTTTTTTTTTGAATCTTATTTTATTATTTTCTCCTTTATTTTCGCACTTTCAGCCTCAGGCCTCCTGATAACACAGGATTTGCTTATGGATATTCACATTGTGCAGTTTGGTTCTAGCGAAACAATGGGCTCATCAGTCTTCTTCCCCCAATTACGGCCTGAATGAGTAAGTTGCCTCGGAATGGAAAATCCTTTACGCAGCTGTACATAACCGGAATGCTAAAATTAACAGATTTTTCGCACGCCTTCGTTAGAAAAACTTTGTATTTCTCCCTTACTTTTTTGTGCATTTTTTTGTTCTGCTACAGATTTTTAATAAATTTAGGACTTTCTCAGAAGATAGGGGTCACAGCATCAACAGCGTCTCCTGAATAAACGTGGAGAAATGGTCATTTATTGGTATGAAAAGACATACCTGCAACGGTCCCAGGAACACATTGAGGCCATAATCGCGTTTAAGCCGATCTTTGATAACTTCAACGTGCAGTTCGCCCATTGCTCCAATTATTGTTTGACCCAATTCGTTATCAATTCGTACCTGCATTGATGGGTCCTCCACCGCAAGTTCATGCAATGCCTGCAAAAGAACTAAAAGGTAACCAGATAATTATTTCTCCGTTGATGCGGTGCGGTATCCACTATGAATCCTAGGACATATTTCAAGGATATTATTTTTTTAATAATTCAGACTGGCTTTTTGCCAAAATGAAGCATTCCTCGCCTTCCCTACTTCATATTTAGTAATATTCGTCAAGGTATCTTCATCCTGCTGTAGTTTTAGCCAACGCATATCAGAAACTTGGAAAAAGTCCCTAGGCTCGCGACTTTCCAATTTCTTTAATTTAAAACAGATTTTCTAAATTTTTTTTAACTCATCTACTATGATGATGTATTTTTTTTTTTTTTTTTGGATTCTTGAATCGATTGAATGACGCGCTTGTTCAAACTATTCACCTTTTCGAATTCCAAATTCGATGCTTCAGATGGTGCTTCAACAGTACAGAAATAGACAGGATCAGGTGTTTCGATGCCTGCTAACAAAATAGACTTCATGGAACTGTCCTTTTGTCCAAGGTGACCTGAAAACTTAAAATAAATTTTAGTACAAACTCTAAATTTGCATCAAACAGTTCCAAGTAATTCCTTAAATATTAATAATCTAAATTTTTAAATCCCATAAACGCTACCACAACGGCTCCTCCTCACTTCTCTTCAGAACTTCCTTTCCTCTCTGATTCGCTCTTTTTCCACATTCTCGCTTGTCAACAGACCTAAGATTGCTATATTTT